GAGAATGATGAGGGCAATGAATGTACAAATGCGCTTTACACAATTGATGTGTGTATGGATTGTGATAAGAGTTGTATGAGCCCCTAATAAAATGATTTAAACAAATAAGAAAAAAAAAGATTCATTAAGAGAGAGTCTGCCTCTGGTCTCAACGTGATCAGAAACACCTCCTTTTATTAGTAGATTTCGGGGGTATTTTAGAGTCCTTGGCTAGCTTGTTTGGGGCCTGCACATTCTTTTCGCAGTGGCAAGGCTAGTTGATCTCTTCTACATGTGTACAAGCCACATTATGATTCTGAGACACAAAACATGCAAAGACCCACGTGCTGCTTTCTCACTACATTGTGTAGCTGTTCAAGTAAATATTAAAGTGACCATTTTTTTTTAGCCCTCATTGCTATTACACTATGCCTCCAACACTATGTACTATTATTATATGTACTCTGCTTTGGGCTGCAAGTCTGGTTTTTTTCAGATTGTTACACCTATTTTAAAGTTCACTTAGGTCAGTGGTTCTCAATCTTCCTAAGGCCGCAACCCTTTAATACCGTTCTTCATGTTGTGGTGACCCCCAACCATAACATTATTTTCATTGCTACTTCATAACTGTCATTTTGCTACTGTTTTGAATCATCATGTAAACAACTGATGTGCAGGATGTAGTTTCATTGTTGCAAATTGAGCATAAGTAAACATAATTAAGGCATAGTGATTAATCACAGAACAATATGTAATTATATATTGGGAAATATTTATGTGTTTTCTGATGGTCTTAGGCGAATGACCCACAAGTTGATAACTGCTGATTTCGGTGATCTGTTTTAATTTGATTGATATAATGGCTGCAACAGCAGGATCAAGCATAGGGACAATTTATAAAGATCTCACAGGAGCGGGCAGTGTTTTATTTTGTTGTGCATTGGGTCCCTTTGAGTCAGAACTGGCTAGGCACCTAACAGCAACAACCTACAAATGTTTTATTCGCCATTGATGGGATTTGAAATAAAGATAGAGCATCTCAGAGGGTGCTTTGGTGTAGCAGTGGGGGTGAGAGTAAACCCAGAGGTGAGAGTTTCTGTGTTTGTTGTGTGATGGAGCAATCTCCTGGAGCTGCTGTCACAGACATTTGGAGCCCACGATGGAGGTTTGAGGTGGAAATGGAGAGTTGGGAGCCATCATCATGTGGCAGGGGAGATGGACAGGTTGAGAACAGGGAAGGGAAGACGGGCAACTTCAGAAGAACAGTGGTATTAAGAGATAAGTAATAGATGACAAGCCCAGGAAGTAGAAGAGACATTGGAAGCAACAGACAAGGAGGGACATCAATAGAGAGTGCTGTCACAGAAGGCAACAGAACAGAGATTTCCAAGATGGCTTCTGCCACCACTACCACCAGCGGTTACTGTCAAGTAGATTCTGATTCATGACCCCGGAGTGACAAAGTAGAACTGTGTTTCATAGGAGTTGTCAGTGGCAGGTTTTTCTAACGTTGATCATCAGGTCTTTCTTCTAAGGTGCCTCTGGGTAGACTTAAACCTCCAACCTTTCACTTAGCAGTCAAGCACATCAATTGTTTGTACCACCCTGGGACTCCGAGTTCTGGAAAGAGGTTCAATAAGATGAGGGCTATCAAGTAGGATAAAGCCAGGAGTGGCAACACGTTATTTCAGGCTTTGTGAGCAATAGCGTTTCGATTGAAACCATTCAACTTGACCACTGTCAGGTGAAAGCAGCCACAGACGATATGTGAACCAATGGGTGTGGCTGTGTTCCAATACAGCTGTCTTAATGAAAACAAGTGATGGGATGGATTTAATGCATGAACAAAATTTGCCAACTCTCGTAATAAAGTGTGTACTGTAGGTCATTGATGGCTTTTGCAAGAGCAGTTTGGAACTCCTACTGCAGTGGTTGAGGGTGTACAGCTGGATGGTGTAACCACTTCTTTTGAACCGGGACTATAAATGGGACCGGGAGCTGTGGGCCTTAGAGGGCTTCACCAGGTTTACAGAGGCTTTCTGGTCACCAGGGACCCTCTCTCACTCTCATGAGGGAAGACTGCAAAGTTAGGCAATATTTGTAAAGCCTTTTTATTTTACATTTTCTTCCCGGTCTGCCTACATTCAAGTTTCTTGTGAGCGGCCTCCAGAATGTTAATTGACTCACCCAGGCTTAATGAATATTTATTGGGAACATTTTAAAACAACCATTTGCTACAGGATTGAAACTCCAGGAAGCCACTACAGAAGTAATTTTGCTAAAGCTGCTGACATGGAGAATGGATTATTTCTCAGGCTGTCATTTCCAGTTCGTTCCCATGTTTACAGGTAGGGTATCATGCGTCAACAAGCACCTCCTGTTCAGAGGGTGGGCAGGTTGTCAGGAAAGTGGTCAGTCTGCAGCTCTGCAGCTAAAGCCTTACCAGGCAGGGACCACATGTGACTCCTCAGTTGGAAAGATCCGCAGCTTTAGAGGCACAAAGAGAGATTAAGTCATACCCCCCTGATTGTGTTAGAACATAGGTTCCCAAACTTCTTTGACCTCTTGCCCGCTCATTTCAGAAAATAAAAACAAAAGCAAAACTCAGCATCCCCTAGCCATTAACAACCTTTTAACTATATCTTATAATTGAGGACAAAATGTAGGCATCTGCTTTTGTAGCCCCCACCCCCTGCCTATGGCCTGGATCTTTTCAGTGCCCCCAGGGGGCAGTATCACTTACTTTGGGAGACATTGTTGGAAGGACCAATTCCAGTGAAGGTCTAGAAGGAAGGCCTTCCTTTTGGACTCCTCGCACGTCTTCCTTTTAGCAGCTCATTGGGCATGAATGAATGAATGAATGAATGCAGTATCATTCTAGTCATCATCTGCTACCGAGATGAGGGCAGGAGCCAAGGTTGCTACTTCATCATTTATGCGTGCTCCTCGGCCTTGAGAGGAAGAGAGTGTATGCCTTCCCCTAACCCTCTTGTCCAAGCGATGCTTGGCGACGATGATACTATTTGGGGGATTTTTGCCCATATCGATGGGTTGGTGAACCCTAAGGTTTTGAGGATGCCAAGGAATTGGGAGGAAGGCATTGGGCAAGGACAGATCCCTGCATCTTCTGAAAACAATGCTTGATCAAGGAGCCCCGGGTCTTCAATGTGACCATGACACCTAGTCTGAAAGGTGCAAGAAATCCCTCAGCACTGCATTTCTTCGTTTTGACTCATAAAGACAATCAGCCTCCCTCATCATCCTCGCCCAAGGCCTTGCCTTTCCCTCAGTCCAGAAGGATAGGGGTGAAACTGTGACGCCACTCTTCTGACCTCAAATTAAAAAGCGAAAGCCTGAGGGGATGTCAAATTCTGTGTGTTTCCATACCTGAAAGTAGGTTCCTTGTGGCTAGGCGAGGACAGAAGGGAGGGCTAGGGCTCGGGGCATCTGATAGCATGTGATCAGATGTGCATCTTCACAGGGCCAGAAAACCAAAGCAGAAAGCAAGAGTCGTTTTTATTCCGCGTCATTTGAAGCTCCGGCCTTCAAATTTTGCAGCGGACTCTATGGGTAAACAAAATACCTGTAGCTGAATTCAAGAACCCCTTCCTTCAAGGAAAATACATTCTAAACCTCACTCGGACCATCTCTGCTATCACCTGCCACAGGGCCTGAGATGAGTTTTTCCTGCAGGTTAAGGAATCGAAGTTCTTGTTACAAGAGAGACCTGCTGTTTTGGGAGATCCAGGATTTGGTTTGGTGCTTGAACTGAAGGGGGTCATCATCCCAACCTGGTCACAGAAGCCGCACCTTGGAGAGCAGTTCTTTTCTGCTGGGCATCGTCACCAATGCAGAGGAAAGTGGTGAAAGAGTGACAATCCGTGAGGGGTTCGCGAGCTAAGCAGTGTTTCAAGACCGTGAAAGTTAGAGTCATATGCTACACCCTATAGGCTAGGTGATGAAAGTGTACTTATATCAGCCTATCTGTACTTCCGAATCTGCAGAAAGTCTTCTTTGCCCACTCCTATTTGCCTTTCTCTACAAAGCCTTGTGCGCACAGCTTCCTTGCTCCCTAGCCCCAGGTAGCTTTCTTCCTTTGTTTTAAACTTGGCTCATTTTCTCCACTGAAAAGGATCCCCTTTCCTTCATTTCAATCACTCACACCAGGGCTCTGCCATCATAGAAAACCGGTCTTTAGGGAATCCTTTGCCGTATTTATTGGCTAAAGTTATATTCCGAGTTCAGACTCTCCAAATCACAGTAGTTCAATAACTTCCTGTTTCTCTCTTAGAAATAGTCTAAAATTTCCACAGCCCTCAATTACTGATTGATTTTTTCACTCTAGATCAGTGGGCCTTGGTGGATATTAATTTATCATCAGCCGTTCAGGCAGCAGCACGACCCGGAGCCCAGTTACTAAGAGTACTAGCTCTGGTGGCCTAGTGGGTTATCCATTGGGCTGCTGTCAACAAGGTCAGCAGCTCCGTAGGAGAAAACTGACTTTCAGTTTCAGAAATGATAGTTCTACTCTGACTTGTCAGGTTGCTATGGGTCAGAATCAACTTGATGGCGACGAAAGGTTTCCTTTTGTTTGTTTGTTTACTGGGACATACACTTGTCAGTGAGTTATGGAAATAATTTTTAGTCCCATTGAAGTTCATCAGTCCTGAGCTTAGGCACTTCCTTGGGAGGTCAGATCTGGGAGTGAGAAGACTAGTTCAAGGTCAGGATACAGGCAAGTTTCTGGTCCCAAAGTGTGGAGGGTATAAGGAATGGGGATGAAGAGTCTTGAAGTCAAATTTTCCCTTCTTTACACATTGAGCTGAAATGCTGCTTCTTGCTGTTTGTAAACACTCTCTCACCATTGGTGATCCTGACACCCAGAATCTAAGGTCTTGGTGGCACAGGGCCCTTTGGGTTGAGAATTCAGAGCCTGACTTCAGTTGAAGACCGGTGAGTACTAACTTGACACCTGCTTCCAAGCAGATGTTGAACAGTTAGTCAAAGCACAGAAACAGAAGTCTTTCTTTACAATTTTATTTACAAAATGTATTAAAACTTTGTACAATACCTCAATGGCATTGAGGCTTTGTAATTTATGCCCACACATGCAGTTTACGCTTTTACGACCATTAGTTTGCTTGGCAATTTTTCTGTCACTGAAGTACAGCTTTAACAACAAAAAGAAAGAATTGGAAAAAAAATCCTCAAGTGACTACCGCCAAACTCCCCTAGCATGAAGTTAGTAGCAGAAATTTGAAGCAATCAAGATTTTTTTTTAAACATGCAAGTTTTTAAAAAATATCAAACCAATTTACCCGCCTCTTCATCTCAGTGAAGTCATCTCTCTGAAAAACTGATTTGAGTCAATAAGCATACATTCTCTTTATACAGTGCCTATGAAACCTTTTGTGTGTAGGTTGGTTGGGTTGCTTTATACAACTTCATATTTGTACGGCATTCGCTTCCCGTGCTGGGGACGTTATAGCATTTGGAAGTTGAAAGGTCACAGTTTTGTGATAAAACAAAAATAAAACCCCAAAGTCAAACCAAACAGAAAAGCAAAACAGAAACACAACAGCTTTCTTTTTAGTTCAATACCATGTAAGATGTGACAGGTGAGTTATTTGTTTATGACACACTTTTTTTTGGGGGGGTGTGAAAGTCTATATTACACTTTTCTGAAAGCATTTCATTGGAAAGAGACTTCTTCCTTTCTCTTCTGAAGACAAGAGCACATGTGCAGCGCGCCCACTAACCATCTAAGGGTCACACGTGGGGGAATGAAAGTGAGCGAGCTCCTCGGTCTTACAGTCTGGAAACTTCCCAATGCACGCATGTCACCGATGAGAGCCCACTACTGAACTACAAAAAGCCTACACTGTTATATAGGAGGTAATTAGTGAGCGGAGACGATTTCCTTGGTCTGGTCTGATGATGTCAATGGCAGGTACACAATTACTTACTAGATAGCCATGGAGTAGGGGAGCGATCTTCTAAGAGAGTCCGTCGAAAGACTGCTCCAAGCAAGGGCCTAGGAGTGATGCTGAGGCCCTCGGTTTAGCAGTAGGTCTGGGAGTGCATTTTCATCTTTGCAGACTAGGAAAGGAAACATGCAGTCGGACGGAGAGCCACGGGCACAAACAGGCTACAGCTGGCAGGCCAGACCTAGCAAGAATAAAGTCAGATTGAGAACGGCGGTCTGAACTCGCTGGCCCTCCTTGCGACGTGGTCCTGTCTCCGTGGTGTACACTTGAAAGGCATACTTAGCAGAGAAAGCAGAGCTAAACACAGTGTTGTTTCTGAGAAAGATATTCTAAACACATCTGGGAGTATAGGCAGCCTTTCCTGCACCTCAATGCAAAATACTCAGCGATATTGGCTTTAAAATACACACGGAAGCAAGAAAAACAGATCTGTGAGTGGAAATTCCAGGCGTCTTGGAAAGCCCCGGGATCCGTTTTAGGGGAAAGCACCGAGAGGTATGCCTGATAGTGCCCGTCCCCTTGCTACCCAGCAGGAGTGCATTCCCGTGCTCTGTTAATCCCTTCACAGCGTGGGAAGTTACCAGTGCAGGTTCACAAAGCCAAGTCTAGAATACAGAGATGTCACGGTTGAGGCCCTTTCCCCAACTGCTTTGAATTTGCCAAGTGTTGCGGTTCTCGTCTAAAGATATACACGTCAGCCACGTTGAAAGGAAATAGGGTACACAGAACATCACCACCAATAGGAAGTACCAAAGACATCGGGTCAGCAGATCCTAGGAGAAATGCCAGTCTGTCTTCCCAAACACAGGGAGTCAAAGATGTTTTGTTTTTGAAGTCAGGAGGAATTGATTACTTTAGCTAAGATGGGCCTATTGGCTGAACTGGAATTTTAAATTTGTATGTGTTTTGTTGTGTGAGCGTGTGTGTGTGTGTGTGTGTGTGTGTGTGTGTGTGTTACAGAATATGGTGTTTTTATACTGTGCAGTGGTATCAAAGAATGGCTTTTGTTGAATTGATTTTTTAATAAGATTTTTTTCCCTCACATACTGGAATCTTGCATGTCCATTTGTTGGTTGGTTTTTATTTTACTTTTTTTTCAAGCAAAGCGAAAAGATTTCGATGGTGGTTTGCATTGTCTCGAGTCTCAGAGTGTTCCATAAGGCACTGAAGGAAAAAAAAAATCAGTTTTTCCTATTGAAAGGTCATTGCACCATCAGCAATATTCGTGTCATGCCCGACACCAAGGAGAGTGAAATCTGGCTCAGGATCCTTGAAGCAGCCACGGTTTCAGTGATTCCTCTTGTCACATGCCTCCAGTGGGAAGGGATCTGCAAAGGCAAGGGGACATAGACATTTGAAGGGGCTTTCACTTGGGAAATCAGCAGTGTTTCCTGGTTTAGTCTATCTCAGGAACAAACAAAACAAACAAACAAACAAACAAACAAACAAACAAACCCTGTGATTGCATCCCATTTGGTTATCTTTAGGCAAGAATCTGGCTGGCTACATTCTTTAGCCCAATGCAAATGTTTTGCAATAGGTTAGATTGAGGTTCGTTCTCTACTATGCACACGGCGCTAAGCATCATACAGGCATTGCATGATGTCTAACTCCAGACTGTAATTGCTTAGGCTTTAAGTATACTCAAAAGGCTTAGTGGTATTTAAATACAGCTAGTCAGAACAAGTACACCATGTAGGGTATTCTAATGGCAGAACCTGTGATAAAGGACTGTTTACCCATGACAGAAGGTAAACAGTGTTGTCTGACTTGTTGGATTACAATCCATTTGGACGGTGAGAAGAAAATCGACTGCTCGTTTTCCTTGATACCTATGAAGTTAGTTCCTAAAATCCGGCACTTGGAAGAGACCACCCTTTGCACGAGGAAACCAGAACCCTAAGACTCCGGAAAGGATTTGGCATCCACGGGTGTCTGTGTCCTGATGCCGTGGGGCTGATGGAGATGCGGATGGCACCTTCCTGATGGAGGGGATTCTTGCATTTATTCACCTGCTTGCCCCCTGACTCCGAACACAGAAGGCTGCCTTATTGGCTTTCTCTTCAAGCTCACTCCACCACCCTTTTTCTCTCCATGGATGGCATGCAGTTTTCTCTCCCAAGCCAACACTATGCTCAATCCCAGAAGACTGGCCCAAGCACTATCACCCACCGGCCCTGGAATAAGAATCTCAAAGGAGAATATAAGAGATGCATGTGAAGGCCAATAGCCCCAAGGAGAGTAGACTACGATTGCCATGGAAGCAGGTGACCTCTTTCTCAGAAACGTTAGTGTCCCAAGTCTAGCGATTTAATCTATATCAAAGCTTGGGGAGGTTTTTATAATTATGGCAGAAAGATCAAAGGCTGTCCCCCTCGATTCTGGCCTACAGTGGCCCTATCCGCAACAGAACGACACAATTGCATCATCACAATTGTTCCTAAGCTTGAACCCATTGTTGCAGCCACTGTGTCAACCCATCCCCTTGAGGACCTTCCTATCCTATGCTGCCCCTCTACTTTTCCAAGCATGATGTCCTTCACCGTGGACTGGTCTCTCCTGACAACATGTCCAACATACATGAGACGAAGTTTTGCCATCCTTGCCTCTAAGGAGCAGTCTGGCCATACTTCATCCAAGACAGACTTGTTTGTTCTTTTGGCAGTCCATGGTACTTTTCATATTTCCCCCAGTCCCAGAATTCAAACACATTAATTCTTCTTTTGGCTTCTTTATTCAATGTCCAACTCTCATATGTGTATGGAGCAATTGAAAATATCATGGCTTAAGTCAGTCACACCTTAGTCCTCACATTAACACCCTTGCTTTTCACTATTCTAAAGAGGTCTTGTGCAGCAGATTTACCCAGTGCAATGGATCTTTTGCTTTCTTGACTTCTGGTTTCATGAGCATTGATTGTGGATCCAAACGAGACAAAGTCCTTGACAGCTACAATCTTTGGCCTGTTTATCATGCTGTAACCTGTTGGTCCAGGTGTATAGTCTCACTAACTCTTACTGTATCATTTCCTGATTTTAACTTTCACAGAAGTCAAAGTCTGTTCATGAAGAACACCAATATGTTCACTACCTACTCCATCTAGGATAATCTCTTTTAAATGGGAAACTGGATCCCCCCCCCTCAAACAAGCACACAAAACACCATTGAAGAAAAACCGAGAGGTCGGGGCGGTTCTGAACAGCAACGAGGAAAGTGCGATGCATTCTTAGCGCTACAAGCAAGATGAAGGCACGGTGAATCTGAAGCGCCTGATGGCCAACCACCTGCCAAGGCATGCTTGGGAGTCGCTCCGCCAGTAGCTGCTCAGTAGCCAGAGAGGCAGCACATAGACAAGAGGCTGTCTGCTCCTTAACGCATTGCTGTTGGGTTGCTCCTTTCTCATAGCGACCCCCTCGGATTGTTTAGAATTGCCCCATAGGGTTTCCAAGTCTGGTGGGTTCAAACCACCAATCTTGTGGTTCGCGGCTCTGTGCTTAACTCAACTGCACCACAAGGGTTCCTTGTGAGTGCCACACAAGAGCTGAGGCTGTGGCATGAGTTCTCATGAGTCCAATAATCTCGAGCCCATCATCACCAGGGAGCATGGAGAGTACTCCTTCCACTTTTAAGGATGACTTTCATAAAACCAAGGAGCTCAGGTGGTGCTAGTAGTTGAGACCCCCTCAGTTGGATTGTGGGAGAAAGATGAGGCTATCTGCTCCCCTAAAGATGTATAGTCTCAGAAACTGTACAGGGCTGATGTCGATCGGAGTCGACTAGTTGACTATGAGTTCAGTTGTTTTATTTTCTTCCCCATAAAACCTAGATTTCACCTGGACCATATTTTTTGGAGGTGATTTTCCCCTAAGTCATCCTTCCTAAAGAATATTCTAGGGCTGATTATTTTGGAAGTAGACCACCAGACCTTTCTTCGGAGGCACCTTTAACCTTTTGGTTAGAAAGTGAGCATGTTAACGATTTCCAACATCCCAAGACCTCCTCCTAAAGAATTCCTGGGACTATGATTCTCTGAGGTTGGCCCTGATAATTAGCAGTCAAAGTTTAATCTCAGGGTACACCTTGATCTCGCTGCCCCTGAATAGACCCCAGGCCAGGCCACAGAACCAGAAGTCTAAGAACTAGGCAACAAGCTAGAAGTTGCTGGGAAATATTCCAGAACTTCTTGGAAAATAAGAGATGAATGGGTGAGGATCTCCCTCTCCATCAGCCAACTGGCTGCAGTTGGCTATTTTTCTTTTCCTGCATTGGGCCTCTTGACTGACACATATAAGGTCTCCTGGCCCGCCTTCCTTCTTGTCTTGAGACTTCACACAGACTCGGAGAACCGATTTGTTTGCAGAGGCTCTTCCCGGCTTTTCTTTCCACTTTATCCCGGAGATGGTTACCAAGGTGCTAGCTAGCGGGGCCATAACCACGCTGGCTCAGCATCTATTAAACTGCATTCCTTGTGTGTGTGTGTGTGTGTGTGTGTGTGTGTGTGTGTGTGCGGGCCTCCATTACTCCGACTTTTGCTTCATAAAAGTAGGTCAGCCAAGATGACCAAACGCAAGCCAGAGGAGCAGACTTGGGTTCTGAGGCTCTTCCCTCAGGGGTGATGTTCCGACACTCCATCTCAGGATCACGAAAAGCCTGCCCATTGAACGCAGGCTGGTGGATCCCATTTACTTACTCTTCTTCCTTTTTTTTTAAGGTTAAATTCTCTGAGATAATTTTCCTCATGATCTTTCTACTCTGTGGATAGCATCGATGCTTGTGAGAAACTCAGAATCGCCGCAGGACCCATCCCACATCCCTCAAAGCGGATTTTTGTGGCCCAGTGGAATCTGCTCTCCATTTGACTGAATTTCTCCTTTGTTTTCAAAGTTTCTGGAGGCCCCCGGCCAAGAGAGATTGGAGGCTGTATGTGTGTGCAAAGATCCAGTATACTCAGATGTGTTGTTTTGGGCCAGCACTTGATATGGCTGGGTTACCTCAAAGGGCAAATACTATCTGACTGATGTTTACATCAAATGAGGATGCTTGGGAAAGTGTCATATAGACTTAAGGTGTTTTAGTTATTTGGATGTCAGTACCTCAGAAATTGGGATGATTAACGGTCCTAAGACAAAGCAAATAAAATACACAAAACTTTAATGAACCTACGTAAATTATTCAAAGAGTACAACATTGAAAGGGAGCAAGCACATTAAGTGTGCGCATGCAAACAATGCTAATTATAGATGAAACCATATATCATACACACAAAATGCAATGGGAACCCTGGTCAGTGCAGTAGAGACCTTGCAGTAAAATGTTACCATCAGCAGCAGAAATGAACAATCAACAAATTCACCAAATGAGATGATGCTTTCCTTCATGAAAGCAAATGATTGATTTGGATTCAAATAGTATTATTATTATTATTATTTTAAAGGCTGTATGTAGATCCTTAATGTGAAATACAAGAAGGACAATACACAAATACCTTTGTAGAGGTGCAACATGGTAATTTTACTCATGGGGTCAAACATTTTCCTCCTCAAATGAGCGAGATGACATTGCCAATTGTTCAGTTCCACTTCAGGTAGGAGTGTTAGTGATGACAGATGAACTTGGGGGTACCAAGACTAGAGCATGTGCTTTTCAACACATTCAGAATGTACCTGGCTCCTAATTTCAAGCTGGCCTTTGGATATCTTTGTGCTATCAGTGGGGTTTGACCATAGCTGCCAGAATCAAGATGGCCTCAGACAGGCTCATCCGAGTATATATTTGGGAGTGGCCAGCCAGAGGGAGCCCCCACTGTCCTTTGGGAGATACTTACCGGACATGATTTCTAAGGAAAGGACAACAAAGGGACTCAAGATGAAGAAAATTGAGACACATTTAAATTGGTTGCTAAAAGAACCTCAATTCCCCTATGGAACAGGGAACCACTTAAGGTGGCAAGGCCTCCCATTCATCCCCGATATTAACAGCCATTCAAAGCAGCTGCTTTCTTTAGAACTGCTCTACCCAATCCGGTAGCCATAGCTACACATAACCATTGGCCATTTGATATGTAGCTGGTAAAAACTGAGATGTGCTGAAAGGTCAAATTTCTAAGACTTAGTATGAAAGAACTTACTATTACTCATCATTAATTTTTATACTGATAGCATGTTGATATCATAACTGGGTTAATAAAATATGAGAGGGCTTCAGAAAGTTTGTCGATGAAAAAAAATCCATTATCTTTGAATCCCATTTTCCCACAAATGTTTTGAAAGCCCTACATGTGTGATTAGGCTAAATGTCACTGTTTTCTATCCCCCCCCCACCCTCGTTTTGAATGTGCTGTGAGCGCATCAAAAATTATGTATGTATGTGGCCCACATGTGTAATTTGCATATATGTCAATTGAGCAGTGCAGCTCTAGAGAATTTTAGTGTTCTCTTTGGGTCACAGACCTCAATGTAATTATGAATCGGCTATTAGAAAAGCACCGTGGCCTGATGAGAAAGCACAGCCATTGTTTCCAAAGAATGAACTGGTTGCGAAGAAAAGACAATGCTTGAAACAATAAACCAAATCAAAAGACAAAGCAAGAATGGAAAGAAAGAGATGAACACACAGAAAAGTTAGGCAGATTAGTTTACTAGACCTTTACCTACCCCTAGATCTTAACACTCTCTGTTCCATACACGTTGTAGCCTTCTCTGTATGTAGCGTAATTCTGAGTGTTGGTGGCAGGAGTAGGCTTAAAGTTTTGGGTGTTCTTTGTGAGTTTCATGCGCTTGGACTCTGCCCGTGATTTGTAACAGAATTCTATCAAAGCCACCATCATGGCCAGCCCCAGACCGCCGACAAGTATATAGAAAACGCCTGCCACGTTGCTAAGGCTCAGAGCGCTGGTCTTGTCCTAAGAGAAATGAACAATGTGATTAGTTCTTGGGGAAAACAAAGGCACTGGGACATTATAAGACAACACAAGAGTATAGGAGAGTTCTAAGTTGTAAAATCACTAAACATTGATGTAAGTGTTATGACTCAACTCTGGCAATTGGCTAATGTCTCACAATGACCAGCCCGATGGTAGACTGTGCTTCTGTTAACAGTTGTGATCCTCACCTCAACAGTCTTTTGTTTGATTCCTTAAGTCACGTAGGACCTCAAAATGGTGTTCAACAACTCAAGGACACACCACTGGGCCATGGGAATCAAAGCGTAAACACAAGCACAGTTTATTCCTCTGCCAGCCGCAATATGCACCATTTGCCAGACTTGAGCTGTGACATAATCTCTAGAAATGTAACACTCTTTTCATTTGGGAACTTGAAGCACTCTTTCCTCTCTCTGCCCCGCAACACCCCTTTCTCCCTTGTTCTCCCCGTGACAAACTTTGCCAGCTAGCCTTTAAAGGTACCAGGTGAGAATCTTAGAGGTTCCTGATATTCTTATCTGGGGACTTACTACACAAGGGTCACTTCCAAAAAAAAAAAAAAAAAAGGTTTACTTTTCCCTCTCCCTCAGTGGCTGAGAAATATTTTCTCCCTTTGGAGAGTGGTAGCTAACTTCTCACCCTAGTTAAAATCAAGACAGCAAGCGGCTGTGCTGCAAGAATAAGGGGGTAGCTCAAGAATTGGCTCTATTCCATCTTCCTGGGAGCTTAAAACTGTCAGGAAGGAACCATTGGCTTCTGGATTGGCTCCATATAAATCAGAAGGATTCTCCAGGAGGCTGATGGTTAAAAAAAAAAAGTTCAGCTAATTTTTAGATTGTACTCCAGGGAGTAGGTAGTAGAGAATACTACTACTAGTACTAGGACTATTACGGGTACTACTAAAAATATTCCACTTGTCTACTTTCTATTTCATAGGGGAGGGGGCAGGGGGAAGTAAAGAAAGGAAGCCGGTCACTGACTTTCAGGTCAAACTGTGCAAATCTGACTAAGCTGTCTGCCTGGACGAAAAAGCAGAATCGGAACTGCTGAACAATGGAACGGTCAAAGTTGGTGCCTTGAGCCCTACCTTGAGGTAGGACACACCAAAGGCCAGGAGTCTTTCTTTGGAAAAATAAAATAAAATAGCATTTTGTAGTCTTTTTAGAGGGGATGTAACCATTTTGCTGCTGTTGGAATTGAATGGAACACCCAAATGGTTAAAGCAGTGAATCGAGTGTCTTATTTAAATGATAACTGAGTGACTAGATGATGACCAATGCTGACACAACTCTCCACGGCTCAGCTAGTGCTGGGACCACTCAAAGAATTCAATGCAAAGACCGTGTGGCCATGTTTTTTTTGTTTCTAGTTAGGGCACCAGCCCTAAGCTTGTTTGCCTAATGAAAAGGCCAATTGGCCGTGAATCACATGGTTCGAAGGGAACTAGGTGTGCAAGTGTCTCATGTGGACAACAACCTTGAAACTGTCACTCTTTTAGGATGAATGGCAGTAGTATGCATTTTTGTCACTAAGGAAGCAGTGGACCATCTCCTGAAGGAGGAGGCTAGTGATGCTCTCTGCAAAGATGTTTATTTCCAATTTCCAGTAAACCCTTTTCTGCCATTACACGTGTGTGTGTGTGTGTGTGTGTGTGTGTGTGGTGTTATTTGATGGGGGTGAAATGTTCTTTGACCTAGCCCACCTAAGCTCTAGCCACAAGGACAGTTTCAAGTTCCACATATTCAAATTTCACAAGAGTTACAGAATTCCCTGATGTGGGATGTAAAAGACCAGTAGCAAAATGGTTCACTGCACAGGGAAAATGAGTGGCATTTCATGAAATGAATTAACTGATACCACGATATTAGTTCAAAAAAAGGAGAGGCAAAAAACTGAAACTAAAAAAGAACTCTCTTAGGGGAGCGAAGGGGGGCAGGAAGGAGGTGGGGAAGAGTGTTTCATGCTTATCAATGTGATGTTGGCCTGACAATGTACACCGTCGAGGAGCATGCGGCGAAATTGTTAAACTATTCTGTACAGCGATTCAAATGAGACCATCGGAAGGGGGAAGTGTGACAGACTTAATGAGCTCTGCGATCCAAAGTGGATGCTGAACGCACTACAGCCACAGCTGGGCTGAGGCTTGTCACTTTGTGTACAGAGCCGAGTCTTTGATATTGACTTGTTTGACTTGTTATCAGATGGGATCGACATAATATCTTAAGAAGCAAAGGTATTTACAACGACAAAGTCTCTGCCACTGCAAGAGGTTAAGAAAAAAGTACTGTCACAACTGGATCTCTTTTGGGGGGTGGGGGGTAGACGGGTGATTGTTGTTAGGTTTTTTTGTTTCTTTGAACTTTTGACATGTGAAATACAGTAAAACCCCCTTATAACACAGCTCATTCTTTTACAGCATTGGAAACACGGTGGGGCCGGATTGAGTTCCCTGATCACAACAGCAGCTCTATCGACTCAATGATTGGCGCCGGGGGGCACACAGCGGAGGCTGGTGTTTGCCTTTTGCCTGCGTGCTGGTGTTATAAAGGGGTCCCACTGTGTCAGGGAGTGTGTGTTGGGAAGGAAAGCCATTTGAGGGTGGAAAATAAACAGTGGGTCAAAATGTGATTGCTAATCAGTACAAAAAGACCTTCAGCGACTGACCTTACTCCCGGAGTCCTTGGCTCCACATTCCCCCTTATCGTACCACCATTTGTTTTTCAGCTTGTCTAAGATGCCTTGTTCACTGAGTTTCAATACTGCAAGGTTTACAGGCGTTCTTCACGTGGGAAATAACATAAATAACATTATATTATGTTATTTTATGTTATTCAAGCTTCAAACTACTTTAAAACTATAGAAAGCGATAAAGCAGGGGGCCCTGGCCACAGAGTAATTTTAGACACTGCAGGCAACCTGAGCATTACCTTATAAAAAGTTAACACTACAGCAACGCTATATTTACCAGGGCCTGCCCATATCGCTTTGAGTAATCGGCACACACTGTTAAATAATGAGGATCAAGGGGAAAAAAAAGGCACTCCTCAAGTAGGCTCTGTGTAGTGAGGAGGGTCTCCCCGTAGGTGACAATCATCGGCGGCAGCTGGTAGTCGCTTTGTGACAGAGATGTGTTAGGTTTGATCTAACTGGGTGTCTTGTTGTACCTCCAGACAGAAAGCATGTTTTATGGGGAAGTAGGGAAAGGGACATGACCAGAAGGAGAAGCGTTTCCATATAGTGTACCAAGGAGAATGGATAGATCCAAACAGAAGAGAAGGCAGTCTAGTGAATAGCATGCCTGTTAATTCGTTGTCCTTTGTTACACACATCTGTTGCACAAGTGAACACGGTCCCCAGAAAGGCCTGCACTACATACAAGTCCTGACTCCACAAACATGTAGCCTGAAGGCTGCGTGCACACATTGGTCTTGGTATGAAACATAGAACTTGGCCCTCTGTCTTTTGAGCAAGAGGAGTGCTTTCAACGATGGGAGAATTCATCTAGGACTGTTTTGGAGTTACTGACTGGCTGTTTGCTATGGTTATCCATCTTATCTGTGGTCCACTTAGATTACTACAGAGTTGGACAGATTGTTGGAAAATGGATTACTAAAATGATATGGTATGGCCTCCAATGGGTAGCACCACAGGAAAACAAACTCGAACTCACAGCCATTGAGTCAATGCTGACTCATAGCAACCCATATAGGATAGGGTTTCCGAGACTGTTAATCTTTATGGGATTAGAAAACTCCATCTTTCTCTCCCAAAGCAGCCGGTGGTTTCAAACTGTTGACCTTGTAGCTATCTTCCCAGTGTGTCACTCCTAGGCCACAGAATCGAGATCTTGTTCTAGTAAGCCAGGACTTCTTGAATTGAGAGGCTGATAAAGGCCATGCCACTGATTCTCAGTCATCTACTTAAGGAGCAAGGGCCACATTCATAGTTCCTGAACAAATGCATGAAACTACCTTGTTCCAGAATTAGGAGAAAGCTTTGATCTTGTAGAGATTGTTTCTGCAGCGGTAAAATGGGAATTGTGACCTTTACCTTGTCTTCTCTCTGAGGCTGGTGAGTTCTAAATGAAGAGTCTCTAATAACTCTGGATAAAAAAATATGTGATACATTGAGAGCATGGCATGATTCTCTTATGAAGCAACTGACTACTGTGTGTTCAGATTTATTTGGAAAATATCACCAACACGAGTCCACACTGGTCCAAATGTCCCCAATTGAAAAGGACCAGAGCACACAAAATTAGGTAACAATAAACATGCCATAGAACTTCTTTGCTTATTTTGATAAGCCAGACCAACCAAGTGATCTAGACATTGACAGGGCTTCCTTTAATTGCCAAGATCTGGCTTCTATCAGTCCAAGTTTACAAAGCCATTACCTTTCTCCCCCTATTTGCTATGGAGAGCAGAGGGGCCATCTCATTTTGAGACAATCCTACCATCTTTTTAGAAAAAAGATGCAATTTCAGCGCTGTTGAGATTGGAAAACGGACAAACCTTTAGTGTCAAAGGGGCAACACTTTCTAGGTGAGCACAGGGGCTCCCATTCAGAATATCTGCATTGTGTGTCTCACTGGGAAATTGTGGACTTTTCATGCTTTCATGAACTCCTTGAATCAATGTTCCGAAACCTGGCATTCTCCAATGGCAACCAGAGTCGCTTGGAATGCAAAGTACAACCATATATTCAAATGGAAGTTTTGAGGCTCTTTAAGATATTATTGGTCATAACAATCAAATGTGACACTTTTAAAGGCCAGGTCATCGTTGGCCTGGAGTCCAGTGTTGAAGTTGCCTTCTTCCCTATCCTCCTCTTTTAAAAAAATCTTGTCACTATACTATGCCTTTCGCCAGTTGCTGGACCCAGGCTCAGCACTACGGCAGCTAGCAATGGCTTACACAAGACTGAATCCATCAGGATCACAGGAAAGATTACAAAAGCATTTATCTTCTTCTTTCTGT